TCTAACCAAATCTATTACCATTTAATTATGACTCATAGCGACCCTATGTAGGGTTTCCGAAGCTATAATCTTTATGGGAGCAGAAACTCCTCTCTATCTCCTGCATAGTGGCTGCTGGATTCAAACTGCTGACCTGATTAGCAACCCAATGTGTAACCTACTACATCACCACCACATCATCATCTATAAAATATTAATATAGATCAGATTCTTTTATGTTTTGGAGTAATTTCAGTGTAAGCTATAGGGGTAACTGTTGAACAAGTGTTACTTTTTTTTTTTATTTGTTCAGCCTATCTTCCTGTTTTCAGATTCAGACTTTTTACATAGCCAATGAAATGGTTTCCTGAACCTTGTGTGGTAAGCATTTAATAATGTTACTAAACTGATCTCCAAATTGATGAGAAGAGATAGAATAGCAAAAACTGTTTTTAATATTCAGAAATGTTCTTGGATGGTTTAATTACACTTTGGAACAAGTGGTTTGAAAGTCATATTTCTCAGCTATCAAGTCTTTAGAAAGACAATTAGTTTTATGCAAAACTGCAGTCTCTGCTAATGTACTAGGCAAGGGTTAGTCAAAAAATATTGCTGCTGGGATTCCAATTCATCCATGCACAGGGTTATTACAAACAAAAGTTGTTTCAACATGTCTCTGCAATCAGTGGATGGCTACAGATGAGTTTTCTCAATCATACCCTTGTCTTAGTCTCATTAAGATGCCAATCAAAGATCCAATCAAAACAGTGGCTTTCTATGAGGTCTGCTGGGCCTATTAAATTCAAGAGAGGCTAACTCAGATGGTTATGGCAGCAGTTTTTTTTAGGATTCTAAAGGTATAGCATGATGGATTTTCTTGAAGGAAACAGGATGAGGGGGTTTTTTATTAAAAAGTTTTAACAGAATTGAAAACGGCATTAGTAAGAAATTGTTGTTGTTGTTGTTAAGTGCCATCAAGTCAGCACTGACTCAGAGGGATCCTATGCACAACAGAACAAAACACTGCACCGTTGTACACCAACATCACAATCACTGCCATGCTTGAGCCCATTGCTGCTGCCACTGTGCCAGTCCATCTTGTTGGGGGTCTTCCTCTTTTTCTCTGACCCTCCATTTTACCAAACATGATAGCCTTCTCCAGTGACTGGTCCCTCTTGACAATATGTCCAAAGTATGAGAGATGAGTCTCCCTATCCTGGCTTCCAAGAAGCATTCTGGCTGTGCTTGTTTCAACACAGATTTGTTTGTTCTTTTGGCAGTCCGTGGTACTTTTAATATTCTCCTCCAATACCATAACTCAAATGAATCAACTCTACTACAGTCTTCCTTATTCACTGTCCAACTTTCACATGCATATATGAGGTGCTTGAAATACTATGGCTTGGATTAGATACACCTTAGCCCTCAAAACCTATGTCTTTGCTTGTGAACACTTTGTGCATCAGATTTGCCTGATACAATATGTCACTTGATTTCTTGACTGCTACTTGCATGAATGTTGATGATTGATCAGAGCAAAGTGAAATTTTTGACAACTTCAGTCTGTTCTACATTTTATGGATGTTTATTGGTTCAGTGGTGAAAATTTTTGTTTTCTTTAGCAAAATTATATTTGCATGCAATATTAATGATGTTTTCTGATGATTTCCACATACCAAAGGCTATGGGTCTTTGATCTTTATCAGTAAGTATTTTAAGTCTTGTTAGCTTTCAGCAAGCAAAGGTGTATCATCTGCATATTGCAAGTTGTTAATGAGTCTTCTTCCAATCCTGATGCCACACGTTCTTCATATAACCCAGCTTCTCGGATTGTTTGCTCAGCATACAGATTGAATAAGTATGGTGAAAGAATACAATCCTGGTGCACACCTTTCCTAAGTTTAAGCCATTTTTCCCTTGTTTGAATGACTACCACTTGGTCTATGTACAGTTCCTCATGAGCACAAACAAGTACATGTTTTAGAATACTCATTCTCCACAATGTTGTCCATAGCTTGTCATGATCCAGACAATTGAAAGCCTTTGTATAGTCAATAAAGCACATATTTCTGGTAGTCTCTGCTTTCAACCAAGATCCATCTGATGTCAGCAGTGACATCCTTGGTTCATGCCCTCTTCTGAATCCATCTTGAACCTCTGAAAGTTCTCTGTCAATATATGGTTGTAATATCTTTAGCAAAATTATACTTGCATGCAATATTAATAAAATCTGATATTTTCCGCATTCCGTTAGGTTACCTCTCTTGGAAATGGGTACAAATATAGATCTCTTCCAGTCAGTTGGCCAGGTAGTTGTCTTCCAAATTTCTTGGCATAGATGAATGAGTGCCTCCCAACAAACTGTCTCAGTTTGTTGAAAAATTTCAGATTGTATTCCATCAATTTCCATTGCCTTGTTCTTTGTCAATGCCCTCAATGCACCTTAGACTTGTTATTTTGTATCACTGGTTCTTGATCATGTGCTACCTCTTGAGATGGTTGAGCATAGACCATTCTTTTTGATACAGTGACTGTGTATTCCTTCCTTCTTTTTTTTATGCTTTCTGCATCATTCAATATTTTGCCCTTAGAATCCTTCAATATTTCAAGTTGAGTCTTAAATTTTTTCTTCAGTTCCCTCAGTTTGAGAAATGCTCAGCTTGTTCTTCCCTTTTGGTTTTCTAACTCCAGGTCTTTGCACATTATGTTATGGTATTTAACTTTATTTTCTTGAGCTGCCCTTTGAAATGTTTTATTCAGCTCCTTTTATCTCCTCATTTCTTCCATTTGCTTTTGCATATCTATGCTGGAGCGCAGGTGTCAGTCTCTTCTGGCATCCATTTTGGTCCTTTCCTTCTTTCTTGTTTTCTTAATAACCTCTTGCTTTCTTTCTGTATGATTTTCTTGATGTCATCCCATAACTGTTCTGGTCTTTGGTCTTTAGGGTTTAATGCATCAAATCTGGTAATAAAAGGGTGTATAAATTGGTGTGAAAATCAGATAGGACAGAATTCTTTGGGGAGGGCTAGAGAAATGGGAACACTGCCTTTAGAAGTATATAGACCTACATGAATTATATGTCGAGAAACCATAGCTTCACGTTTTGATATTTAATAGAGGTTTCTAGTATTTTGTAACTATACTTTATTACTTATACTCGTATGACAAATCAAATTACTTAGACTGTTGCTTGCTTATTTAGGTAGTGCTTTCCTACCTTGAAATAAAAAGTAGAGAGTAAACAATAAAGTTGCTCCCATCTTTTCTCCCTGACCACTCTTTGTAATTTTTTGTGGACAGATTATAAAAATGCATAATGATATATTCCCATGTTAATACAAAACAATATTACCTAAGAACTGTCATTTCTACTGCTCTATTTCTGAGGTCCTATATAAATTGGTGCCGTTCATCATAGCTTTGATCTTATTGGTTATAACATTCTTTATATTTTCATATGAGAAGTCAAGAGTTTGGATTCAGCTGGAGCAGCAAAATATCTGAGGAAAATATATTTTACTGCCTCTGTGAAACATTTGTTTTATAAAAAATAATAGCATAGACTGGAGCAGAAGCCATTTGTGTTTCTTGGAAAACATCAAAATTATGTGCCTACCCCTAGGATTATTTTCTAAGTTACATTACCATGTCACTTCAAATGATAAACTATTTTGGTTATGTTTAAAAATAACTAGTTGCTATGGAGTCCTTTATGACTCATGGTAACCCCATATATGTCAGAGCAGCTCTGTAGGGTCTTCAGTGGGGACCCAGCCATGAAGGGTAGCGCTGGGACTCTCAAGGTAGACAACTGTATTGGTTTCTAAGACCCTGCCATTTTGACAGGGTGTAAATCAAACAACACAGAATTCTTTGGGGAATGGTTAGAGTGATAGAAACACTGCTTATAAAAGTGTATAAATCCTATACAGGGTCACTATGAGTCAGAACTGACTCCACACACTTAACAATAACAAAATGTATTATTGTAATTATATTGAATGGCTGAGATAGAGGGGAAAGTACTTTCTCTACCCTTCTATTTCCTTTCATTACTTCCTCTGTAGATTCCATATATATTATTGTTGCTATGTGCTGTCCTGTCAGTTCTTACTCATAGCACCCCTATATAGGATTTCCAAGGAGTGGTTGGTGGGTTTAAACCACCAGTCTGCAGTTAGCAATTCAGTGCTGATCCTATAACACCACACCTTTTTCTCCTAATGAACTTGTGGCTTTCCATTAAGACCCAGTTATCATCACCAGGCAAAGTTAGTTATTGCATCCTTTGTTCTTTTATGATCATTGGGCTTATCTTCCAAGGCACTTCTGGGTAGGTTCTAACTGCCAGCATTCTGGCTAGTAGTGAAGCACTTAACCATTTTTGCCACCCAGAGACCCCATAATTAATTTGATTATATATTTTAATATATGTTTATTATACTTATAATAAATATAATCATTTGTGAAATAATAAATATAACCACTTTGAATACACTAAAAATACTTATGGTGGTGGTCATGAAGTATTCATCGTTTTTCTACATTTTTCTACGAAAGAGAGTGTTTCCCAGATTTCTGAATACCTCCTTTGAATGTGAAGGAGATTTAGAGAATTTCTTCATTTTAATGGCATTTTAAAATAGTCACTCTATAGTGTACTTAAAATAAGTAAAACTTTGTGTAATCCAAACCTTTTGTAGGTCAGTTTTCTTATCTATAGAATGAATATAGTATGACTGTTGAGATTAAAAATACTAATATATGACTTAAAACAGTACTTGTCACAAAGTATCATCCTTCTGACTACTGTTCTTTTTCTCTATAGACAGGAAATGAATTGTCTCAAAAACATTTTTCATCTTAAAGAGTTCCTGAAAATATGACTGTGATACTTATTAACTACTCATATTACTTATTTACTTCTCTTCTAAGAGGATTGACTCTAAACTGTTGAGTTGAACATAATAAAATGTTAAAAACACTTGATACATCATGACATAATAATTTTGTTTTTGCAGATGTTCTCAAATAGTGATGAAGCTGTAATCAATAAAAAACTTCCCAAAGAACTCCTATTACGGTAAGTTTGGAATGAGCTCATTTTAAGCCTAGTGGGATGGCAAAACAGACCATTCCTCTTATTACAGTTCCATACATCTAACTTGCATGTTCCTACCCCCCCAAGGGTTCCATGCTTTTCATTTACACTTATTAATTTTGGTGTTTCACAAACACCGTAATAGCATAAACCTACCCAGTCGTTTTGTGGGAATCATAAAAACTGTTGCTAGAAGGGCCACATTAAGTAATTTCAGGACTATGCTATTCCTTTGTGCAAGGCTACAGTCAAGTTACCAGTGAATTAAGCAAGTGTTCTCATTTGTTTCTTCTTAATTTTAAATTACTTACTGATTCTCATCCTGTCTTTTTGAAACAAAGTTATTTATTAATAGTCTGGCAAACTGGAATCCACTATTTGCATAATATGAAAATTTAGTTAGTAGGATTGACAGTAATTCTTTTCAGAGCAGAACCATATGAATTTACTTAAGGATATCTCTTGAAAATGAATGTCAGTGTTTATAAGACAAAGACTCATGTGTGTTTTCCAAGACTATGAAATAACTTGTTTCTCAAGATTCCTTCTGAGGATGATATTGATAACTACAAAAATTATGTGAAGTGAAACGACTTTTTGAGCCCACACATGCCCTTTTAGCTGTAAGACGAATGCACTTTCAGAATGAGGATTATTGTTTATAAGATTCTAATTTTTTTTTTTTTTAACTTTTTGGGGACCTGAATCATAAATGCTGTGTAATATACATGTATGTATGAATGAGTAGGAGATGAAATTTTTAAACTCAAAAAGGATGAATTTGCTGGAGTTTTTTTTCTTACCTTTGTCTGAAATAAAAGGCCCCTGGTTGGTACAAATGGTTTGCACTGGACTACTAAAGCCTGCATCAATGGGCTCAAGCATGGCAACAATTGTGAGGTTGGCCCAGGATCCGGGCAGTGCTTCATTCTGTTGTGCATAAGGTTGCTCTGAGTCGGTACCAACTCTATGGCAACTAACAACAACAACAACTAAAGCTGAACTGTTGAAAGTCCCTCCTCCCCCACTAGTGGCACCATGGGAGAAGAGCCTCACAACCTGATTACATAAAGATTACAGCCAACAAAACCCTGTAGAGCAGTTCTACTTTATAACACATGCATAGCATTGTCATAACTTGGAATCAACTAGACAGCAGTTGTTGTTGTTGTTGTTAAGTGCCATCGAGTCGGGTCCGACCCATAGCGACCCTGTACAGGGTTTCCGAGGGTGTAAATCTTTACGGGAGTAGAAAGCCTCATCTTTCTCCCGCGGAGCGGCTGGTAGTTTCGAACCGCTTGACCTTAAGGTTCGCAGCCCGATTCGTAACCACTACGCTACCAGAGCTCCTTAGACAGCAGTAGGTTTTTTTATTTATTTTTTTTAAGGAGGGCTTGTCTGAAATAACAGATGATCTATTTTTTTAAGGAGGGCTTGTCTGAAATAACAGATGATCATTCTGTGTTGAGGATTCCTGAGACCACTCTCAGGTTCACTGGTTCACTAGGAGGAATCAACTTATAATCATTTGTGGCTATATTTACTACAGGGAAAGGATACAGAGCAAATTTGAAAAATTGAGAAGGCACGTAGCTTTGAAATTCATAGGAAACCAAGCACTAGTTTCCAACAGTTCTCTCCCAGTGGTCTCCTATGGAATGCACTTAATTCCTCTAGCAATGAGTTGTGAGAACACATGTGAAATGTTTGGAAATGATGGAAACTCTCCTAAAACGTCCAAATTCTCAGTTTCCTAAAAATTCAGATTCTCAGACACCATCCAAGATCCAACATTGCAAGCACTCCCTTCTAAGGATAGCAGTTTAGGATTTGCTATGTTAATTCTTCCTCACACAAGTGCTCTTATATTCTTTTCAGGGACGCTTACAATGTTAATGATTTCTAGTAGTTTTTTTCTTCATTTTAATTGCTTGGAGTTCAAAATGGATATGTGTGTATATGTTATTTCTTATTAAAGGCCTAATGGTTAAGAACACATGGACTCTGGAATCTTTAACTACCTAGGTTCTATCACTTAGTAGCTAAAAATTGAATAATACTAGTATCTACATCATAGAATTATCATAAAGGTTAAATGTGTTTGATATATTTGTTATTAGAATAGTGCCTGGCACATAGTAAGTGCTATAAAAATATTAGACATATATTATCATTATTGGTTATACTTTTTACTCATAGATTCTAAGACTGCCAAACTGATCATCTCTTAAATTTAATATGCAAACTGGTATATGTTCCTATATCAAAGAATAGATCAACAACATTACTCTTATTCAGCATTTAGTTTTCTGACCTCAAATATGCTGGGGTTTGCCCTCGACATAGTTGTCACGAGTGTTTGGTTCACGAGGAGGGGAGATCCAGCGGCGATAGGGATAGCGAAAGAATACACAGACAAACAGAAGAAGGGAGACAGTGAGGCACCCCAAAGGCAGGGTGAATACATCACTGGTGGGCAGGCTTGGGAGTACAGGCATCGTAGCCTCTGCAGGCAGCAACTCACTGCCCTGCAATCTTTACTGCATGCCTTCCAACCCGTAATGCACCACAATCTTTACTCCATGCCTTCCAACCAGTAATGCACACCTGGGGAGACCCGGGCCTCTGCTTTATTTAGGGGAGGAGTTTCACACCAAGCTGGGAGGGACTAAAACAGGATACAGCTAACATCAGTAATTTTCCAGACATTCAGGTAACTTTACATTGTACTTCACTGGTTCGAATCCCAGGCCAGCAACTTGGATTCTCAGGCCCAATTAACATATCTATAGCCCCTGAGGTCAGTTGGGGGAAGGTGAGAGTTCTGCAGGAGAAGACCAGGTGAATGGGCTGCACCTGGAAAAGGGATTAGGGAGGATGGGTTCTTTGTCTATAGAACAAAGAACCGAGAAGTAGCTAAGATATTTTTAGTTAATCCTTTGGAGAAAGGTTTAACCTTGCAACCTTTAGTCTCGGCTTTAGGAAAATATCACATTTATCTGTGGATTTTCAAAGGCTCCGTGTATTAATTTAATATATATAACTGAATATTAAGATGAAAGCAATTTGCCATTAACTGCCAGTGGCCTCGTTTGTTACACTTGGGCCCATAGGGCCTCGAACCTCTGACCAGTCTTACAGGGTCCGCAACACAAATATCCAGAACAAAGCAAAGAACGAGGAAATAAGCAGAAAGCTCAAATGTACTTTAGCACACTAACCATGTCTCAGGCCGTATTACTCTTTTTTTTCTTTAGAAATTGTTCTTCCATATTTGATTATGAGAAGCCACAGATTAAAATGGGATGAGTAAGGTAATGCTGATAGGGCCCCCTGAGTTTTAAGAAGTTACGATCATAAGAGTAAGGAAGAATTTATAAAAACTAATAAATAGAAATTTCTAAAACCATAGCAGAGCTGCTTAAGGAAGAGACAGTTATTTGTGAGGGTTTTACATAGGTAAAACATAAGTTGTTGTTGTATGCTGTTGAGTCGGTTTTGAGTCTGTATTCAATTTCCGAGCAGAGCTGGTGAGTTTGAACTGCCGTCCTTGTGGTTAGCAGTCCAGTGTTTATCCTGTAGTGCCATGCCAGGCATTTTACATATAGAACAATAATTAATGTTTCTCATGAATACCATGAGATTTCAGGATTACTTAATTTAAATGATCTTAATTTAAGCCTTAATACATGAGTAAACATTTAAGGGATATAATGTCTTATGCTACATAGATATAAACAAGTCTTCAAAAAGGTTACAAAGTGATAAAAGAAACATTTGAGAATAAATTGCAAATATGATGCTATTTTACCCTTAAAGACTTCGTTGTATATTTTCTAAAAAATCAAAGTAAAATCATCAAAATCAGGAAATGAATATGGGTACAATACTGATATGCAATTTACAGCCTTATTCCAGTTAATGTCCTTTAAAGTAAAAGGAAGACTTTTTTTCCCCTGGTTCAAGCGCCAAAGACCACAGATTGATTGCATTTAGTTGCCAACTCTTATCTAGCAGAGTTCCTTGGTGGTGGTAATTGTATACCACCAAGTCAGTTCTAACTCATAGTAAGCCTAAATAGGGTTTCTGAGGCTATAGATGAGCCAGAAGGTCTCATCTTTCTCCTGCGAAGTGACCGTTAGATTAGAACTGCTGACCTTGTGGTGGTTAGCAGCCCAGCTTGTAGTCCACTATGCTACTACCATAGCTCCTTGGCACAGTTCCTTAGTCTTTGTCTTTCAAAGCATTAACAGTTCTGAAAAACACAGGACAGTTTTTTTGTAGAATGTTTCTCAATTAAATTCAAATTTCACATTTTGGTAGAAATACCACAGGAATGTGTGATGTCCTTCCCAGTGCATCAAAGAATAAGCAAACAATTTACCCCCAAACCCTTTTTATGTAATCTGGTCCCTATCCTACTCTCTGAACTTCCATCGAGTCAGTTCCAACTCATAATGATCATGTATAGAGTTTCCAAGGAGCAGTTGGTGTGTTTGAACTGCCAGCCTTGTAGTTGGTTAGCAGTCCAGTGCTTATACTCCAGAACGCCATTAATACATATAAAGCACTTAAAACAATACCTGGCACATAAGGACTTCATAAAGAATTGTGGTACTGCTGTATTCCCTCTCACTATCATTTTCTGTTCCTCAAACAGTCCATTGTCTTTTATACATACACCCATTTCCTATATCTGGAGTGATCTTTCTTTAATTGTTCAAGCCCCTGATCAAATGTCTACTCCTTTAGCAGGCTTTCCCTGACCTCTGTCATATTTTATAGTTGTGTTTGTAGCACTCCTCACTAGCTGAAAATTTCTCACACATTTTACTTATTTTGTGTGTACCTCCTTCCCTTAGACCATAGGTTATACAACAGCAAGGACCTAAAACAGTGTCTAAGATAGGTGGTAAAATATGTTTTTTGAATGAACACTTGAAACTCACTTTTCATCCTTAAGGTCTGCAACTGAGCATTCCTATCTGAAAAGCTGATAGTTTATAATCATAACTTTTAGAGAGATTGTCCATCATTGTGTGACAAGACTTTCCTCCTTTTCTATCCACCCATGTGGCCCTCCTAAGAGAATGCAGACTCTATAGATTGCCTACAGCTACCTATTTTCATTTTACTATTTGCACTGTAATTGTTCTCTGGACTTTTGCTCAGACTTCCCTGCCCCTCTGCTGGTGTCTTGCTGAAACTGCAAGAAGTAGATTGTTAACATCAACTCACCTTGTTGCCCCAGGCCTAACCCTTTCAATTCTTTTAATCCTAAATTTTAATCAGCCCCTTAAGTGGACCTCTATAGTTGAAACGTGGAGTCCTGGTGTGGTGCTGTGGGTTAATGCACTGGACTGCAAAGTTGGTTTGAACTGCAAGGTCTGTGGTTTGAGCTCACCAGTTCGGAAACCCTGTACAGGGTCACTATGGGTCAGAATCAACTCAATGGCACTTAACAACAACATAGTTGGAACAAATCAAAACATGTCAGCAATCTGTTAGAGGAAGTAAATATGTAAGAAAGCATTAGAGGTTTTTATAAACAACTCAGCTGCTATTACTTGTTTTTATGACACGGTACATTGGTGACTGGAAAGTCACCAAAAGAACCTTCTGCTTTAAAATTAAAAATATTCTCAAAATGCATACAGTTTTCTGTCTGGTATTAAAAAAGATTATTACAAGTCTAAAACATGACTGATAACTGTAACAAAATTATTGTTTTTTACACCAACAAAAAAGATTTTATTCTTAAAAAACTATGAAGAAGTAAATCTAGCAGATTCCTGACCTGTACTTTATAATACTTGAGGCATCTCTAGTTGTCGCAAGGGATATCATAAATTTATTGAAGCAAAATTAATGTTAACTTAAAAAATCTTTATGCTATTGTTGTTTAGTCCTGTGGCTATATTGTACTTTCTCCCACTTGCAGAAGAACTTAGTTGCTATTTCAGATTAAAATGGCTTTTTAAAATGTTCACAAGTGAAAGGGCTTCAAGAGAAGTGACAACTACTTATTTGACCTCTATAAAGACTGAAAAAAATTCTAGTCAGTAAATGTTTTCTAACATTGATTGTGCTATATTAAATCTATTTTAATTTCCTAAATTAGGATTAAATATTTAGAAATTCAGTATTTTATGTTATTGTTGTGATTAAGTCTCACTGAGTAGGTTCTGATTCATAGCAGCCCTATATAAGGTTTCCAAGGAGTGGCTAGTGAGTTTGAACTGCCGACCTTGTGGTTCAAACTGACCTTGCTTATCCATACCAGGACTCTGAATATTGCAGTTATAAAGAAAAATCAGGACAAAGTAAAATAATAACTATTGTAGTAATATTATAATAGCTATAATATTTTATATTTACTATATTTTGTCCTGCTTTTTCTGTATAATTGCAAAATTCGTTATAATGATATTCATCCCTTTGTCTATTTCTTTTGTTATCCAAACATGGGAAAAGTTTATTTTTACATTTATAAAATTATATCCGATAGCAATCTTTCATTACCCCTTGCTTTAAGTAATTAAATTTGTATAATACTTATTCTTACATTATCTAAGAAAGATTTCTTACTCCTCCTTTGTTTTGTAAGGACAATACGCCTATTTGTAAATTTCTGAAACTTAGTATGCTTGTTTGAAAGAAGTTTTTCCTAGTTTTGTTTTTTGTTAATGTAGTCAATTACTTATAGAAAAAACCTACAGAAACTTTATTGTGTAATAAAGTTTGTCACTCTTTTCTTTCTAGAATATTCTCTTTTCTGGATGTCGTTACCTTGTGTCGCTGCGCTCAGGTCTCCAGGGTAAGAATGACATGATACAGGTTAATTTTTCCTAACATTTATGATCGCCACCTCTAAGTAAATAGGCTAGGTATTTACTTCAGATATTATTTGTATGTTGTTACATTTCAAAGAATGTTATTTGATCCTTGGCTTACCTAGTTTTAGGTAACTCTTAACAATTTATGTAATGTAAACAAAAAATACTTTCAGTGGAGAAAAAAACATTACGCATACAAATTAAAAGGCTTAACTCAGAATTATAATGAAATATATAAGAATATTTATATATAAATACATAATGAAATATATAAGAATCTTATACATTGAGTATCTACTTTTGCTGTTAACATATCTATGATGTGGTAGAGCATACATGGGGGAAAATTAGACATTACCAAATACTTTGAGGGAATGATTTATTGGGCCTAGAGGCTCAGGACCATAGTCTCTGGGGACACCATGTTCAGTTGACATAAGATAGCCCATAAAGATAGTCTTCTATATCCTACTTTGGTGCTTAGTATCTGGAATCTTAAAAGTTCATAAGTGGCCATCTAAGGTGAAACTGTTGGTATCTCCCTGTCTGGAGGAAAGAAGATTGTTGAAAATTAATGATGTCTGGAAACAGTTAGTCCAAGTAAACATCTGTCTCATGACCCTGAGACCAGAAGAACTAGATGGTACCTGACTACCACTACCAACTGTTCTGAAAGGGATCCCATTAGAAGATCTGAATGGAGTTGGAGACAATGGAGAACAAAACTGAACATCATAAAAAGAAAAAAGACCTGGCTTACTGGTCAGATAGAGACTGGTGGAACACTGAGCCTATGGCCCTTGGTCATCCTTCAGGTCTGCAGCTGAACTTGCCCAGTGAGTCAATTTTCAGCCAAATAATAGATGGGCATATAGGGAGTACAGCAACACAAGTGAAATATGCACACCATTGAATAACGGCCAGCGATTCAAGGTCAAAAGGGTAGCATTTGCCTAAGGATACAATTCAGAAGGGTGGGGAAAGGAGAAATGGAGGAAAACAAGAAACACAAAGAGAAAGTGGGATAAGTGCTGTTATAATGAGGGGATATGCAGTAGAAGGAGTCCTGGTATGGTACTATGGTTTAATGCACTGGACTGCAAAGTCTGTTTGAACCACAAGGTTGGTGGTTCAAGCTCACCAGCCACTCCTCAGAAATCCTATATCGGGTTGCTATGGGTCAGAACTGACTTAATAGCACTTAACTACAACATGCAAGAGAAATGAAACAAAGTACATGACTTGTTTATTATAAAACTGATTATCTACTCTTTAAACAAATTTTCATTCAGTTTACAGTAAGCTTTAAAACAAGAGTCTTGTATATATGACACAATACTAGAAGCTTAAAGTATTTCTCAATATGTGAAAGCAATGCAATGCTACTTAGTCAAATATATCTTCTTTTAGTACAACTTTACATTTTGCAGTATATCTGTTATCTCTATAACAGATATCAGTATATCTATTTTCCTGTACATCAGGAAAAGTAAATTGCCAAAATGTTTTATATAATAAACCAACCACTAAACCAACCACTAAAGCCAGTGAGGATGAAATAGAAGAATTCTACCAACTTTTTCAATCTGAAATTGATCAAACATGCAATCAAGATGTATTGATCATTACTGGTGGTTGGAATCCAAAGGTTGGGAGCTAAGAGGAAAGATCAGTGGTTGGAAAATATGGCCTTGGTGATAGAAAAGATGCTGGAGAATGCATGATAGAATTCTGTAAAACTAATGATTTGTTAATTTCAAATACCTTCTTTAGACAGCATAAGACGCAACTACACACATGGAACTCACCAGATGGAATACACATAAATTAAACTGACTACATCTGTGGAAAGAGACAATGAAAAGCTCCATATCATCAGCAAAAACAAGGCTAGGGGCAGATTGTGGAACAGACCCATCAATTACTCATACGCAAATTCACACTGAAGCTGAAGAAAATGAAAACAAATCCACGAGAGCCAAAATATAACCTTGAATATATCCGACCTGAATTTAGAGATCATCTGAAGAACAGATTTGATACATTAAACACTAAAGACTGAAGACCAGCAGAGCTGTAAGACGACATCAACAACATCATACATGAAAAAAGCAAAAAGTCATTGAGAAGACAAGAAAGAAGGAAAAGGTCAAAATGGATGTCAGAAGAGACACTGAAACTTGCTCTGCAGCGTAAAGATGCTAAAGCAAATGGAAGAAATGAGGAGGTCCAAGAGCTGAACAGAAAATTTCAAAGATCAGCTAGAGAAGATAAAGCCAAATATTACAACAAAATGTGCAAAGATCTGGAATCAGAAAACCAAAAAGGAAGAACACGCTCAGCATTTCTTTCAAGCTGGGGGAACTGAAGAAAAAATTCAAGCCTTGACTTTTGTTATTGAAGGATTATCTGGGCAAATTATTGAATGATGCAGAAAGCAACAAGAGAAGATGGAAGGAATACACAGAGTCACTGTACCGAAAGGAAATGGTTAATTTTCAACCATTTCAGCAGGTAGCATATGATCAACAGCCAATGATACTGAAGGAGGAAGTCCAAGGTGCTTTGAAGGAATTGGCAAAGAACAAGGCACCAGGAATTGATGGAATCAAAACTGAAATCTTTCAAGAAAGTGAGGCAGCACAGGAGGCACTCACTCATGTCTGCCAAGAAATTTGGAAGACAGCTGTCTGGCTGACTGATTGGAAGAGATCCATATTTGTGCCCATTCCAAAGAGAGTAACCCAACGGAATGCAGAAATCATTGGACAATCTCTTTGATATCCCATGCAAGTAAAGTTTTGCTAGAGGTAATACAGAAATGGCTACAATCATATGTTGACAGTGAACTTCCAGAGGTTCAAGCTAGATTCAGAAGAGGCCATGGAATGAAGGATATCATTGCTGATGTCTGATGGATCTTGGCTGAAAGCAGAAAATATAAAAAAGATGTTTACCTGTGCTTTTTTGACTACGCAGAGGCTTTTGATTGTGTGGATCATGACAAGCTATGGACAACATTGCAAAGTATGAGTATTCTGGAACACTTAATTGTGCTCATGAGGAATCTGTACATGGACCAAGAAGCAGTTGTTCGAACAGAACATGGGAACACTGAATGGTTTAAAATTAAGAAAGGTGTGCAACAAGGTTGTATTCTTTCACCATATTTACTTAACCTGTATGATGAGCAAATAATCCGAGAAGCTGGGTTCTATGAAGAAAAACGTGGTAATCAGTATTGGAGGAAGTCTCTTTAACAACCTGCAATATGCAGATGATACAACCTTGCTTGCTGAAGGTGAAAAGGACTTAAAATATTTACTGATGAAGATCAAAGAGCTCAGCCTTCGGTATAGATTACATCTCAATGTAAAGAAAACAAAAGTCCTCACCACTGGACCAATAAACAACATTCTTATCAACGGAGAAAAGATTGAAGTTGTCAAGGACTTCATTCTTCTTGGATCAACTATCAACACTCATGGAAGCAGCAGTCAAGAAATCAAACGACGTATTGCATTAGGCAAATCTGCTGCACAGGACCTTTTTAAAGTATTGAAGAGCAAAGATGTCAGCTTGAGGACTAAGATGCGCCTGATCAAAGCCATGGCAAAACCTTATATGCATGTGAGAGCTGGACAGTGAATAAGGAAGACCATAGAAGAATTGATGCTTTTGAGTTATGGTGTTGGAGGAGAATATTGAAAGTGCCATGGGCTGCTAAAAGAACCAATAGATCCCTTTTGAAAGAAGTGCAGCCAGAGTGCTTCTTGGAGGCCAAGATGGCCAAACTTTGTATCTTGTACTTTGGACATATTGTCAGGAGGGACCAGTCACTGGAAAAGGATATCATGTTTGGTAAGGTGGAGGATCAGAGAAAAAGAGGAAGACCCCCAACGAGATGGATTGGCCAAGTGGCAGCATCAATGGACTCAAGTATGGCAACATTAGTGAGACTGGTCCAGGATCGGGCAGTGTTTCGTTCTGTTGTGCATAAGGTTGCTATGAGTCGGTACTGACTCAATGGCACCTAACAACAACAACAAAGGATATCGCATTATGTGAAAGCAACGCTATGCTACTTAAATATATCGTCTTTTAGTACAACTTAACATTTTGCAGTATAACTGTTATCTCTAAGCTGTACATCAGGAAAAATAAATTGCCAAAATGTTTTATATAATTTTACAAGTACAACTAAACCAAAGCCCACTGCCATCAAGTTGATTGTGACTCATGGTGACCCTATATAATAGGATTTCTAAGACTGTAAATCTTTATGGGAATAGAAAGACTCATCTGTCTTCCACAGAGTGGCTGGTAAACTTGAACTGTCAACCTTGTGGTTAACGGTCCTGTGCTTATTTTACAGTGCCACCACTACAACAGCAACCCCCCCAAAAAAAGACTGCACTTATTGTTCCTACTTAGGTACAAAATAGAGACTTCATGGAATTCTTTTTTTCTTGGTTTGATATTTTAGGCTCATGGTTTTGTGGATCTATTGAGTCAATGGACATAAAGTTTTTGGAGTTGCTGTTTGGTGTATAGTGCCTAGGGTCTTAAAACCCTACAAGTGGTCACAATTGCTTTCTATTTGAATGAAGCATCAGAGGAAGAAGGAAGACCCTTGAATCAGAGAAGGAAATAGACTACAGATTTACTTTCCTTTGAGAGCTACTACTTTCTTTGCCATGAAACCAAATGAAATGGATGGTGGCCAGCTACCATTACTGAATATTTTGATCAAGAATCCAGTAGATGGATTCTGATTAAAAGGAGGACAGTTATACAGCAGAACTTCCAATTCATATGGAAGCCATATGAAATGTGAAGTCGTAGTTAAACTAAACAACAGAATGCTTTGTCTTGAGCTTTGTGTTCAAACTTACAACAGTTAGTCTAAAACACATTAGAAAGCCATAATGGGCAGAGAGTCTAAATTAAAGGTGATGAAACAATATAAGTAGAGATAGTG